TAAACCTATGAAATTTAAACATTTAAACTTTTGCTATACTATATGGAATGTGTAGTAGTAGCATACAGGCATTATTGTATGTTATATATTTATATAGACACGTCCTATTGTAAATAAGAGTAAGAATTTATTGCATATATGCATACATATGTATGTGTGTATGCATTTCTAACAGATGTGCATAGCCCATGCAAATTTATTTACTTTGAAAGCAAAAATCACAATAATGTCTCAGAAAGCCTTCTAAATGATAATGGAGGGGCTCATTGAATTTATATGTAGAGATGCCATTGCTGTGATGTAAGTTTTCCATTTGAACATTAAAAGTCTTATATTGTAGCAAAATAACTAAATGGGTGTATATATTTTCATAATCCCAATGGAAAAGTAATTCTAAGGAGCAATGGCACATTTTGATATTAATAGTATTATTATGTAGATAGATTCAATTTGTAGGGTTTTAATTTATTGTATGCATCAGAATGCAGTTATGAGTCCTTTTTGTGAGACTGCTGATGCAAAATGATGTTTATTTATCATAATTGTTTTTTTAAAAGTGTGAGTCATGGGATGAATTGTATACAGGCAATCAGCTATTAAGCCCTGTGCTAATGTTTTATAATATGAGTAAAAATAAAGAGATGTTGTAAAGCAGCAGATCCAAGCACAATTGCTTATCAGTAGTTATGTGACAGTGTAGTCTTTACATTTAGATAAAAAAAAATATGGCAGAACATGCTGGTATGATTGTTTCAGAGGTTAGGTAAAGAAAACTTGCACTTTCTTGGAAAGGCAGTCTGTTCTCCATCCGTCTTTTTTATATTTAGACTAAATATAATCTAAGAACAAGTGAAATGAGAAGCTGAAGTTCCAAAATCTCACCAAACCATCTGCTGAAATTGACATGTGAATTGGTTTGCTATAGTAATAGGCTTTTATTTATTTATTTTATTAATATATTTATACATGGACCTTTACAAACTGTTTTCGGGGGCGATCTAAAAATTACAGTGGAATATCTACAAAATTTTAGAACTGCATAAAACCTATTAAGCTAATTATATGAAAGGGCTGGATTACTTTGCACTAAATGCAGTAAATTGGATGCCAGGAGAACCTCTACAGGAAGAACATTCCACAAACTAGATAGAGCTACAGAAAAGACCCATCTCTCATCCACAGCTGGCACATCTTAAGGTAAGAGAAGACTGATGATGAGGCACATTGTTTCAAGTATTCAATCACCAGGATTGATATTTTGAAGTGTGCCAACAAACAAATCGGGAATTATTGGATTAAAACAAAAAAAACTTTGGGACTATATTTCTGTTCTTTCAGAGCAGGACAAAATACAATACATTGCAATCTAATGAGCATGACTAATAACACTGGTTATTTATGTGCAACAGGAGGGCTCCATTGCCCATGTACACCTAGATGGACTTTCTAATTGGACACTGTGGAAATATGTAACTGGACTACATCGTGTCGGAGTGAAGATTCTGTTGCTTTCAAGATGTTCTGTAATTTCCATGCTCTTCAATCATGGATAATATGACCTATGGTCAAGCCTAATTTATCACTTTGGAGGTGGCCTTTGTGCTTATCCAGTGGGGTATTATATTTTCTCTTTTTTAATGACTGGCTCTATTTTCAAACCTTTGAATAAATAAATATCTGCTTTGCATAGGGTATAATAGTCTTGCCTGGCTTTGTAGCCAAGATTATAGGCATGTGAGAAATGACTCTGAGCCCATTTTGAAAATGGGGGGGGGAGTTATTTAAATCATTATGTTTAAATAGAAATGTGAGACACAAATGTGCTTTATGCTGATGGTTTTATTTCCACTGAAAACATATTCAGATATATTTTGAACAGCAAACCTGACTAAGCAGCGGGGAGCAATAATGCCCATGCTGCCACAACACAATTACCTAATTTAATGCTCATGTTTTGTAGAAGAATAAAAAGGAATCAACTGAGTCTGCCAAGGATACCCATAAAATTAAATTTATCTCAAACAAACCCCATCATACAGAAGATTAAATTAACTCCATCCAGTCAAATGGAATGGGATCTAACCATCTACTGAGCCATTTTCCTTATGATAAAGGAAAAGCATGGTAAAAGAGCTGGGGAGAAGTAATGCCTTCCCTTATAGAACTCATTGCCAATACATAGCAGCACAGAGAATGGTTTCCCAAATATTGGCTGCAACCTATTGCTGCGGGTTAGTTGCTGCTAGTAATGTTTAAAAGCCTTACTATTATTTTGCTGGTGCAAGACCTTCTGGAAATTCAGACAGTTCCTGAAGAAAATGAATAGTTCTGTGTTTCCAAAATTGCAATACTTGACCCCATTACCATGATTCTAAAATTACTAGTGGTTTTAAGCATATTGTGGGAATAGGGCCTATGGATGGTTTCACTGAACTGACCAGTATCACTTACTGGAAGCCACTTATCGCTTAGTAATAGTATTTCCCCCATTTGGTGGCCTCTAGAGTTGTTGGTCTTCCCTCAGCCCATTCCTTGAGCTATCGTATGCAGATCCTCATGTTAAAGCATTGCTCTTTTAATGGAAACTTACAACTTAAATTCCCAGCTACCTCGCTCTATAAGATTGCTCAGCCTTCTTATCATGCAACAAACAAAGCATGACCCATCACTAAGCTTACAGTCAAATGTTTGTAACTACTGTTGATGGCAATGAACATAAAGGCTTGGTAAACCTACAAGAGCTCCAGAAATACTCATCTTGTTCACAACTGCTTGGAGAAAACATGGTGCAGAAGGTCTCCTAATATCCAGGGATGGATTCTTCTTCTGCCACTCTATGATTTAAAAAGTTATCTATGAGTTTGATCTATAAATGTTGGTTTTGCATCCACTAGCTGAGACTTTGGAAGTTCAAAGAAGAGCACCTAGGATGATTAAAGGCCTGGAGAAAAAACATATGAGGAACAGTTGCAGGATTTGGGTTTGGCTAGTCTAGAGAAAAGAAGGACTAGGGACATGATACCAGTATTCCAGTATTTGAAGGGCTGCCAACAAAGGGGTGTGTGTGTCAAATTATCCTCCACAGCATGAGAAGGCAAGACAAGAAACAATGGATGGAAACTAATCAAGGAGAGAAGCAACCTGGAATTAAGGAGAAACTTCCTAACAGTGAGGACAGTTAACCAATGGAATACCTTGCCTTCAGAAGTTCATCACTGGGAGTTTTTAAATAGATACTAGATCTTCTCTGAAATAGTATAAGGTCTCCTGCTTGAGCTAGAAAACCTTGAAGGTCCCTTCCAGCTCTACTCTGATTGAACTTAAGACAGAAGTTCCTCCAATGTGTGTCATCACTACTGAAAAAGCAATGGGTGCTACCTGTGCCTGCTAATTTGTATTTGTATTTGGTTTTAGTTTTAACCTTTATAAATGGTAGGAAGAGTTGTAAGCAATTTTGCCGTTTTATTCTCACAACTATTTGTTTAAAAATAAATAAGTTTCAGAGAAAACATCTCTGGACAGGAATATACAAATATTCATATCAAATAAGCTGCTAACTTAATTGGGCTTCTATACCAGAAACCTCAGGGACACGGTGGCTCAGTGGCTAAGATGCTGAGCTTGTCGATCAGAAAGGTTGGCAGTTCGGCAGTTCGAATCCCTAGCGCTGCATAACAGAGTGAGCTCCTGTTATTTGTTCCAGCTTCTGCCAACCTAGCAGTTTGAAAGCATGCAAAAATGCAAATAGAAAAATAGGGACCACCTTTGGTGGGAAGGTAACAGTGTTCCATGTGCCTTCAGCATTTAGTCATGCCGGCTACATGACCACAGAAATGTCTTCGGACAGCGCTGACTCTTCGGCTTTGAAACGCAGATAAGCACTGCCCCTTAGAGTTGGGAACAACTAGTACATATGTGGGGAACCTTTACCTTTTACTAGAAACCTAAAGCTACCAGTATTTTAATTTCTATGCAAATGTTCAGAAAAATAAAGCCTTGTGCAATTAATTAAGATTCATAATTCTGTATCTAGTCAGGTCCATTGCTTAGATTTAAAAGTGAAATCCAAGGGTTCAACTGCATTGTGCATGGAGTTCCAAGTGACTTCCTAATATTCTGCCTTTTGTGGTTAAATGGCAACACAGATCCTCTGAGCAAATATATCTATGGAAGACAAAATATTTATTAGGCAAAAATCAACCAAATGGTACCAGCTAACATTCAGAGATTTCTATCATCAGAAACTCAGATATTAGTATAGTCCAAGAATCACTTCAATGAAGACATCAAATCCATTTGTAGTATATTTGATACACTTCTGGACATGTGGTGGCATCAAGCACAATGGCCCCAATCCCTTGCAAGTCGATTTGATTAAGAAAAACTTCTGATCTTAATAGAGATGTACTTCTCCCCAATTATTTTCCTTTGAACATTGATTTAATGGAGAATAGAGGGTATTTTGGTTCTTCTCTGGAGGATTGGGACAGTTTAATTCCAAACAAGTTCTTATAAACATATTAGGTCTAAATTAATATTTAGAGCTGGGGATACATTAAACTGGTTCTTCAGGTTCTTCTTTCTTTTGATGGTGTGGCTACTCTTCCCCATGTCCAATCTTTTAACTGAAGCCAACATAGGAATAATCTTGAAAATTGGGGCTTCTGTTCAAACACAGCCTCCAAAGATGGCAAAAACTGAGGATGAGGGAGTGACAATGGAATTTTATTTAAGATCCCCAAGGTGAAACATCTACAATTTTGCTATTGGCAGAGAAATTCAACTCCACATTCACTATTTTTATCACTCCATCAGACAATATAAGGGGAGAGTAGTGAGGAATCAAGCAAAATACATGTTTTAGGCTACCAACATCAAACCATTCACATTGGTAGGGTTCCATTAATTTTGTTTAGCATTGCTATTAAATTAAAAAAAACTCTGAGGATCACTTCTGTAATAACTGTAAGCTGGATTAATTGGCTGTTCGAAGGTACATACTAATGTTTTTTGTCTTCCAATTTCTTTTTGCTGGTTTTCTCAGTCATGGTCTCCATAATCATAGCAGTTTCTTCATAGCTTTCAATTTTGTCATCAGAGAATTTTTCTATGGATTCTACCATTTCTACCTTCTCATAACTCATAGTGTTTGGGAAAGCTAATTCCTTATGCAAGCCATCCTGCTTCTTGCATTGCTTCTTTACATAAATTCCTTCTTCATTTCGTTCACTTGGACATGATGTGGAAAATGGTTCCGGTGCCCCAGTAAATTGCACTTTTGGAAATTCTTGTTTTTTCCCAAGATCTCTCCAGACCCTGGATCCATCATCATCCTTCTCTTTGCCTAACAGCTTGTACTCATATTTAAGGTCTTTCTGCATCCTTGATCGCTCCCGCATTTCATGGACTTCAACTTCACTTTTGCAATGTTCCGGAGATCTGGGTAATTCTGGAATTGCTTTCATACCACGTGATATATTTCCACCAACATCCGAAACAATGACTCTACCTTTATAAGGAATAGGTAAAGAATGGAAGCTGGTGTCATCATAGCTGCCTTTTTCTGCAATAACTACATACCCTTTAGCATGGAACCCAGTTCTAGGTTCCTGTCTTTGATAACATCTGACTTTGTCTTTCACTATATTGCACAATTTGTCAAAAGCTTTGCTTAGTTGTGCTCCATCGGGCACATCTTCTTCTGCTTTTCTGGGCTCACTTTCTTCCTTCGTACCATTGGATCTATGTTCACTTTCTTCATGCTTGAAATCCACTGGAACTTGGTCAAATCCTTCTTGTGGCTGGTCAAGCGTTTTCTCTAAGGAAGACCCATTGGTAAGGTCTTTGGGTGTGATCTCCTTCCTCTTAAACATTTTCTTTGGCAGGCTTCTTTGTCGAAACTTGGCAGCAGCAATGTCTTGCATGACCAGTGTAATGTCTACATGAATGGAAATAAAACAACCATAAATATAACATGAGATGCAGCCCACTAAGGAGGAGATGTATCATATGCAGACATTACCTCAAAGATGGTTGATGAAGGTGGCATGAATATTTGTTGAAGAAAATGTTAGGTCAGAGTGCACCATTTGTTTAGGCAGTGTCTGTACTTGCCCTTTGAGTGACACACTCCAAAATGTTGGTTAAGCAAAAGACAAAACCTAAATGTGATTCACTTTTAATGACAAATTTAAGTTGACTGGATATGTTTACTGTAATTTTACTTTAATGCAATTAGTATGATTACTGCTTACCTAATTGCTTACATAATTATTACTAATACTAGTACTAATTACTAATATTACATACATACATACATACATACATACATACATACATACATACATACATTCTCAAAATAATACCTGAATGGATGATTCCTATATGATGAATATTTAGATGGAGCTACTGTACAGAGAAAGAAAAGGAACTTCTCCCTCCCCTTTTCTCTCTCTCTCTCTCTGGTTCTTTCTCTCTCTGTCTCTCTCTCTGTGTCACTCTCTCTCTCTGTCTCTCTTTCTGCCTCTCTCTCTCTGTCTCTGTCTGCCTGTCTCTCTCTCTCTCACTCACTCACTCTCTCTCTCTCACACACACACAGAGAAGTGGATTACATTTTTAATTTTGTTGGGTACAGTCTATGAAGACAAAGCTACAGCTTTCAAATCTGACTATAATCTACAAAGATGCTCCAAAACCTTATGGATATTTCAGCAGTAAGGACTTCTGCAATACTGTAATTCAACATTACTAACATGACTGTGTAAGAAAACATTAGTATTTACCACGGTCCTGCTGGACCATAAAATTCATCCAATTAACAAAAAATTAAATAAGGGAGGCTCAAGTGATGAAGACACCCAGTTGTTGTTGATCTCAAAAAGCTAAATAAAATCCGATCGTCAGCACTAGAATAAGAGATCCCCAGGAAATCCTGGTGTTAAAGATGAAAGACTAGTCTAAAAAGGTTTAAAAAAATAATCCTGGGAAAAGTGCAAATCACTTCCTCATTGTTAACAAGAAACAACTTATAGCCATTAGAAGTCAAGCTAGTAGATGTGATGTAACTATTTTATGTAAGAAAGAAAGTTCATTTTAAAACAACCAAAATTCAGGCATAATAGAGCCGAGGTGGCGCAGTGGTTAGGGTGCAGTACTGCAGGCCACTTCAGCTGACTGTTATCTGCAGTTCAGCGGTTCAAATCTCAACGGCTCAAGGTTGACTCAGCCTTCCATCCTTCCGAGGTGGGTGAAATGAGGACCCAGACTGTGGGGGCAATATGCTGATTCTGTAAACCGCTTAGAGAGGGCTGAAAGCCCTATGAAGCGGTATATAAGTCTAACTGCTATTGCTATTGCTATTGCTATAATTATTTTAGGATTCATCAGGAGGGGCAGGATTTATTCCTGGGCTGTATATATACAAAACATTAATTCATCACAAATTTTCAGGATCCCAATGAACAGAAATGTTAGTTCACTTTAAAAGTATTGGGAATATGCTCTAGGACAGTGATGGCGAACCTTTTTGGCACCAAGTGCCCAAATGGGAAGATGTGTGCATGTGCACGCGCCCGAGTGCCGGAAACCTGAAAACCAGCTGGACAGAGTGCAATGCCTGTTTCCTGGACAGGTTTTCAGGCTGTTTTTCATTCATGTTTGGGATGGTTTGGGGCCATTTTGGGCCCAAAAAACGGCTTGAAATAGCCCGAAAAATGGCCTAAAATGACCTGAAAAATGCCCCCCAAACAGTCTGAGTTTTGGCTGATTTTGGGGGAGTTTTCAAGCTATTTACCAGTGCTTCAGCCCCTGAAGGCCAGCTGGCCAGTATGAATGTGTGCCGGAAACCAGAAGAGCAGCTGGCAATGGCACGTGTGCCCACAGAGAGGGCTCTGCGTGCCACCTCTGGCACAGGTGCCATAGGTTCGCCATCACGGCTCTAGGAACTGTGAGGTTGGAGACCTCTCTTCTTTCTAAGAAATCAATAGATGATTCAGTTGTTGTCTATCTTCCTTTGGTAAATGCAATGATTTTGTTAGGAGAAAAGGGTTTAACGTAAGTCACCCGTGCTCAGGTAATGCGAACAATGAGATTAGCATACAGAAAGATATCACACACTGGTCTCATAGGCTAAAATCATTTCTGTAGGCGCTTGCTTACCTGTGCCTTTCAAAGGTGGCGTCTCTGGCGGTCTGTAGGTCTGTGGAAACAGGGTTGCTGGAGTTCCAACAATAGCAGAATTCAATCTATCAGAATAGGGAAAAGATATAAGGCAGGATCAATAAATTCCACTGAAACAAAACCTAAACAAACCTTTAAAATAATGTTTAAAGTAACGCCAAGGCAACCCAGGTGGGTTACGTGTAATCCATTGTAATTATATGTATTTGTGATATTTTCCAAATAAGTTCTTTTTTATTCCATTCCAAACCTGTTGTCTTAAGGTGAGCTACGTGGAGTGCAATCCACCCTCGCCTCTCTAGATCAATTCCCTGCAAATCCATTGTCATCAAACATTCTAGAACAGAATGTCATACTCTGGCAAGTTAACAAAGCACATTGGAACCCCACTGAAAAATAACTGAGGAGCAAGAACCTACCCAGAGAGGATTCCTGTTGGAGTAGCTGAGATACCCCTAGAAAGCTCTGTGAATGGGAAACTGCCAGCGGTAAGAAATAAAACAAAGTGCTCCAGATCTCATATATATCCAAAGCCATCTCAGTCCCTAAAATTTTCAGTTGTCTAAAAGAAAAGTCAGAATTGCTTCTGTTCACCATTCCTGAAAGTTACTTTTTATCTTACTTCTCTTTAAGCATATAATTGGACCATACGGTTGGACCTCCTCCACCTTAAAGATGTGTGGGTTAAAAAGGTGGAGTGCATGAATATGCATCCCAATTTCCCTGTGTGTACTTTCCATGTTTACTCCACTATAAAAGTCTTGTACATGTGCAGAGGTGGACATGCTCCAGAGAACTCCATAGGTTTATATTCCTGGTACAATAAGGCACTCATTATAGAGAAAAACTTGGAGAAGCAAAATATGATTTAAATCCAAGAAAGGCAGAGAATTTTAATGTTAAACTGGCTTGGCCTTAAATCCCTTGGGTACAATAGAGAGGGTAGAAAAACACAATTAAGATTATGTTATTATAATCTATATCAAAAGACTTCCAGTATTTCTTGTGGAATCCATTTTCTGATCTGGCCTACCTCAAAGGAGTGACAGCCACTCCTTTGGCTGTCACTCCTGTAGAGCATGGCTGTCAAACTCCCAGCCTGTGGGCCACATGTATCACACGCTGGCCACTCCCATGCCCAGTTTAGCAAAAGTCCTGATATGTCACGTAACGCTGCCATGGCGATGTTATTCTGACACACCTCTGATGTAGAGACTTCTAAGCACATCTATCTACACATACATAAATAGGCTTGGAGGGTACTCTGATTAGATTCATTACCTTTCATTTTAATAGCATGATCAGATCATGCTATTAAAATGAAAGGGAATTAATTTAATCAGAGTACCTAGTTTTAATTCTTCTTGATTAACATATTGTCTTAACAGAGCACTGTGAGTGCATTCTATTTTTAAAGCAATACAGTTTGGCTCTACATATGCTTGGAACTTGTCCTGTGGTCACACATGAATAAATACAGGACAATATGTTTGCAAGCAGGCAATTATGATTTTGGGGCATAATATTGTCACTGCACTTAAGACAGGAGGAGTTCTCTCTCCTCAATCACTTTGATTTAAAAGAGGGGAAAGTGCTACAAACCACAACTATGGTAAGATAATTACCAAGAGAAGTGTTATTAATGCAGATCTTTTCTAGATATTTTGAAATTTTTGTGAATGACTAGTTCTATTGATACACATCTCTGCAACTACTGCACATTTTTAATATTTTTTAACGCACAAAGCGTTCCGTTGGACATCAAAAGAATTGAAACAGAAAGTAGCCATTAATTAATTCCCTTGCATCTCAGATCTCCTTACCCAATTAAAAACAAAATTTGAGGTGGTAAACCTGGTTTTTTACTCTTACAAAGAAGAGTTGAAAATCAACAATGAGAGTTGGTAGTATCTCAAGCAGCAACAGGAAGTCATGCAGATTCCTGGAAACAAAAGCTTAACACATTGATGTAGAAATGCTATTAATGAGTGGCTCAGAGAGCATGTCATGTGCTTCTATAGTGAGTAGCATATTCCATAACAATTAATATTTCATTTAGGATGTTGCACAGTACTGGGGAATAATGTTTTGGCCTGAGGAATTTAGACACCCTGCCATGCCAGCCAAAGCAGAGAAACCTGGAAAGCTATTGTGAATAGTCCTATTATTTAAAATATGAAACAGTATGGTCAAGACCTGATTGTTCAGTATTGAAATGATTTCTTAGATACAACTTGATGAAACTCTAAGCCACTTTGCTTTCTGCTTTTTGTTTCAAGATTTTCCATACCTGCTATCTTCATTTTCAATGACACGTTTGTAACGCTCCAATTCACTCTCTAGGGACTGTTTATAAATGGACAGCTGGCGACACTGGTTGGTGTATTTCTCCAAGGTCCTTTCAGCGTCTTCAATGCTCTTTCTCAGACTGTCAATCTGGTCATTATATAAATGGATCTCATCATTGTAACTCTGCTGTGTGTCCTTAATCACCTGATCCAGCATTGCTGTCTGTTTTAAGAAAAGGAAGATGTGAAAGATTTCCTAAGGCTGGTCTGCTATGGGGAAACAGCACAGTTCACTAGCAGCAAATATTTAGAATACTACCTTATTTCAATGACATGAAACAAATAATTGATACTTTTGTGTTTCAAATATCACTTAGCATTAAACACACACAGACACACGTACACACACACACACAAACCAACCAATATTAGCAGCAAGCAAGTTAAAATCATATTTAGATAGCACAATGTCCAAGGTGTAATTTCTTAAAAGTGTTCATCTGTCCTCATATAAATAATGTTAACAAAAACCTGCACATCTGCATCAGTTAAAGTTCTAAGTTCATACCCAGTATATAGGATTAGTGTAGTACTAGAAGTACTAATGTTTCTAATATATAGCAAAATGATGGGTTCAATATAATCCTGAATCTGTTTCTGGGATCATAAAGGTTTTATTGGAAAATTTAGCAGCAAGCCATCGCAAAATGGTAGCTTGATTTTTTCTCTCTCCACTTTTCAGTCAAAGGACTACTGTAGTAAGATTAGGATCAGCATCAGCATCAGGATCAAGATTAAATTATAATTTTTAAACTGTAGATTTAGCACACCCATTTTACTGTATTCCCTCTCAGGCCCCAGTGAATTGTTGATAACTTTATAAAGTCAACCTCCTCCCACTCCACTGACATAGTTCCTGAATGCCATTCCCTTGCAGGGAAAAGAAATGATGCAACTAGTGAAGTTCTATAGATGCCTAGTAACATGAACCTGGAATTTTACACAGGACTTTACACTACAAGAACTTGAAGTGCCAAGACAAGCAGTGCCTTTCTACATTGTGTTCTCAAGAAAAGCTGAAGCCTATTCCTTAATGTATCTCCCATTAAAAAAATAAAAATCAAATCAAATCACATCAAATTAAATTAAATTAAATTTTGACATCCTCTGAGAATTCTCCTGAAGAACCAAAACATTGAATTTGAATAAAACTATCATTCCTCTTTCTCCATGCTCCCAAAACATCATTCATTCATTCATTCATTCATTCATTCATTCATTCATTCATTCATTCATTCATTCATTTTACAAGTATTGCACTTGAACAAGAGAGGAAAAAGTCATGTTTTTTACATTATGCTGCAGGCAGTTGAAAATATTTGTCAGAAAAAATTCCAATGGAATACATATTGACCACCAGATGGTGCTCAGTCACCTGAAAAACAGAGATTTGCCTGATAGGAAAATTGTATTATCACTTCCATCATTGCTCTTGGAATAAAAATATAAGAAATCAAATCAGTTCAAATTTTATTATTATGATCTTTGACCAACTTTTACAGTAAAAAAAACCAGCACTGGAAAGATTCATTATTTGGATAATTTTGAAAACTCAAAAGTATATTCTGCAAAATCTTGATTAATTTTATTCAAAATGTATCTTGCAGATCTTGGGAACAATTTCCATTCCTAGGACTGAAAAGCTGGGTACAAATGAATTGTACAGATTAAATATTCCACTGCAATGAACCCTCATAGCTTATGATCTCTCTGGTATTTTTAGCTGATAGAGGAGAAGAGCAAGTAACGATTCTAAGTTATCCACAGAGTGCTAAAAATGAAACAGGCATGCATGCCAATAAAAGCATGCAACATTAGAAAAAAAGGCACTGATTTTTGTAACGAAGTGTAAGTCTTCCTGAACAAGAGGACCAAAGTGATACTAATTTTGAAAAAAATTAGGCTGCCATCTTTTTGCATAAAATGATTATCTATGGAAGTAGACTTTCCGGGGTGTCAAACTGGCAGTCCGTGGGCTGGATGTGTCATGTGAAGGTCACACCTACTCCAGCTCCACAAAGGCAAACAACATCGCAATATGCCACGATACACCACGTGACACAATCAAGTTTGACACCTGTGAGGTAGAGGAGCATGAAAGAATGCTAAAAGGGGGGATGGTGAAAAGGGGAGAAAACAGAGGGCTTAATCAAGGGATGATGCAATGCTACCTTCCTCAGGGCAGGTGACATTATGCTCTCAGTGAAACACTGCTTATCTGCAAGTCCAATTGTTCACAGGTGTCAAGCCCACAGGAGTTAAAACTCAGATTTCACAGAGCTCTATTCCCCTTCCTCAATTTCTAAAGGTCAAAAGAATCCCAGATTACATCAGAGTGTGCCATCTTGTTCACCCTGCTATCCAACTTGAGTGGATCCTAGCAATTTTTCTCTCCAAGAAAGTGGTAAATCCCTCTAGCATGACTGTAGGAGCTTTGTCCTGTCCTATTCTTAAAAGAACCCAGGTTACTCTGAACAGGACCATTGGTGGGAATCTCTGAAGGTGATAAGCACAGAGAAAAACAATTGAGACCTACACTATTTCTCAGGGACGCAGTGGCTCAGTGGCTAAGATGCCGAGCTTGTTGATTTGAAGGTCGACAGTTCAGCGGTTCGAATCCCTAGCACTGCGTAATGGAGTGAGCTCCCGTTACTTATCCCAGCTTCTGCCAACCTAGCAGTTCAAAAGTATGTAAAAAATTCAAGTAGAAAAATAGGGACCACCTTGGTGGGAAGGTAACAGCACTCCATGAACCTTTGGCATTTAGTCATGCTGGCCACATGACACGTGTGGGGGAACCTTTATCTTTAAAAAAGTAAGTTTCCCCTCACACATATGTGCTACTCATTCCTGACTCTAGGGTGCGGGTGCTCATATCTGTTTCAAAGCCAAAGAGCCAGCGCTCTCTGAAGACATCTCCGTGGTCATGTGGCCGGCATACCTAAATGCCAAAGGTGAATGGAATGCTGTTACCTTCCCACCAAAGGTGATTCCTATTTTTTCTACTTGCATTTTTACCTGCTTTTGAACTGCTAGGTTGGCAGAAGCTGGGACAAGTAACGGGAGCTCACTCCATTACGCAGCACTAGGCATTCAAATCACCAAACTGCCACCCGTTCTGATTGACAAGCTCAGTGTTTTAGCCACTCAGCCACTGCGTCCCTTTTTTTTACCTTTACACTATTTCTCAGATAACCTCCTGCTTGTGAAACAACCATAATCCAATCTAATGATCTACCTTTTAATCAAATAGTTTAAAAACATTAATCTGAACTTAAATCATAATGCTCGTAAAACATTTGTTTTAGAAAAAGTAACTTTTTTTGAAACAGTACCTCTGTCTGAAGCTTAAGTTTCTGGCCTTGGAGCTGGGAAAAAATGCCCTTGTATTCATCTAACTGATTCTGAAGTATTGGAATCCTTCTCTCGGTTATCAGCTTTTCCTGCAAACAAAACAGGAGGAGGAAATATGAGTAGAATTGGATTGGTATCAAAAAACAGACTATAGGTTGGAATGAAAATGATTTTTTAAAAATCCAATTTTCCTCTTTGCCTAATGTAGAAATGTGATATACATCCTAATTGTTCAGACATCCCACAAAATTGGATGTTATGGTGAAGTGGTGAATAGTAAATCCTACTGAGGGAACCTTGTGTACAAACAAGAAATATTTATAGCTTCCAATTGTGCTGAGTATCCATTATCCCCTCTTTCCTCATTTTAAATACATCTATGTATTTATGCTCACACCTGAGCATATATGTTTCTGTAACCTATCATTGATATCAGTGGTGGGTTTCAAAAAAAATTCAAACCTACTCTGTGGGTGTGGCCTCCTTTGTGGGAGTGGCTTGCTGGCCATGTGTTTTCTCTCTCTCTCTCTCTCTCTCTCTCTCTCTCCTTCCTTTTGTCTCTCTGTCCCTTTTTCCTTTT